ATGCAAATAGCATCCTCAATTGCATGAATTATATCTGTTGATCATATTCCCCACCAAAATAGCATTTCCTCATAAATTATGCAAATGAGGTCATTATTTGAATACGTTATGTTTAATTATGCTCACCTTCACTTATCTTTCAAACACTCCAAGTATAAAATTCCAGGTAGTTACATGTACCACTATGCAATTATAACATTTTCTAATTAATTATGCAAATTAAGTCTTCATTTGCATAATAGATATCTGCCTGTGTTTCTCTCGTTCTTAATAATTGTAACGTCATTATATCAAGCATCACTCAAGCTACCTACATACCAGAAATCACTTTGATTCATCAATTGGGTCTTGAGTTACCCTCCTTTAAACATTTGTCCCTTTAACCAACCCCCCCCCCCCCCGTGTACACTATATGACATCCAGTAGATTTCTAGCGGGGACCAATCATAGGGCTGCTGACGCGTCACCGACTAGCGGCTATTAGCACCTTGTTTCTTGTAAATGCCATGAACTCAACCAGAGCGCGTATATTGTTTCTTGTTTACATCAGTACTAAGTACTAGTACTTCCACAATCAGTTAGTAAAGTCATACCTTAGTAAAATCTACTTTGATGAACGAATCAAAACGGGACTGTAGACATTAAGTTTTACACATTCAAATGTGGCTGCACTAGCGCTATTGGAGCGAGCGACCACTACGTACGGGAAGGAACGGATCTTAGCGAAGCCGAGATTTGTGAACCTAACCCAACCCATCGAAGACGGGCCGCCAAACATAAGAATGGAGGGAAATGACAGACAACAAGCCAACAAAGACAACATCACCAGACCAACAAACTTGGAAAACACCACTTCAAGCGCTAACGTTGTAAGAACTGTGGAACCTCAAACTAGTATGTTTGCGTCAGCGGAAAGGCTGTCGAAGTAACCACTACATGAAAAACTGCGGCGAAAAAGTAACATGGGTTCGTCCCAAATCTAGACGCAAGTGAGCTACAAAAGAAATAGAACCTATGCAACTTGCTTGTTGCTGTCAACTTACCCGTTAAAGATTGAACCGATAAATGTACGTACTATAACTTGCCATACCCGGCCAAAGACGACTACATTACTGTTACTCTTTATTTTGTGCTGTATAATGTATACTGTAAATGCATTTTTATTCGTCAGGGATTTAACTTCGCTGTTTTCGCGAAGAGCCTTGCTTCGTGAAGTCATGTCCCTCGCGAACTGTTTACCGTATCGCTACACTCCCGTCTTCCAGGTTTCCATGTAACGTTACGTTTACGTTACTACTACCCATAGAGCCAAGTATAACTATCCGTATTGTCTCAGCAGAAATAGACACAAATAAAAGTAGACCTGTCCAGTTCTTCAAGAAATAGAATATTTCTGCGCTATTGTTGAGTATCAGAATTATTTATACTGATAAAAAGTATTTTATGAGACACCGAATCCAGTGTCAGGCCATGTCAACTGCGTATAAGAAATCTATAATAGCGTGCACGTCGCGGGGCCGCTTGCGACAGGAATACGGCTAAAATGCAGGCACATCCACAAATATTTTGATCAAAAACATAATTGCTGGGATCTGAAATGTTACTGGGTTCTCCTTAGCGGGAGTTGTATTTTGTTTTGGTTGGTAAAACGGAGGGTAAAAATGCTAAAAATTTAGCGTGGGTACGACGAACCCACGTAGAGGCACGCCGAGGTCCGTATACTTCCGGTTTGCAAAATCACGCCGAAAACACCAAAAATCCCCATAGAAATATACATTTTCCCGAAAGATTCTTGGAACTATGCATTCCTTCACTAGAAGATCGATGTGTAGTTGTGGAAAAAGCGTTTTAGCGCTTATATTAAAACAAAGAAAATTTGTTTACATCGCGTCGGCCCGCTTGTATGTTACCGCGGCGAGCTGCTCCGACTGACGCACAACCAATCAGAGACGCGAAATGCGGACACGTGACGCGAGATTTGCATACCGTCAAAATTTATGCAGCTAGCTGAGAAAGCCAGGAGCGGGGCATGAAACTAATTTTTGTGTCAAATCAGCGCCGTATTTCAAGAGATAAAATGCCGGGAAACAAGATTTTCCTGCTTTTGAAAATGTATTTTACGAGTTCATCTTTGAATATCCGAGTAAAAATCTAACCGTTCGATGCCTGGTCCTTCGGTACGATACAGATCCCGTGTGATTCTCAGCACGAGCCATCAGTTCGGTATGAATTTTTAACTGCAACCAAATCACTGTTACTCTGTACTAAGTAGCGTTTTGTTAAAAGATTCCATAGCCGGCGATTTTGTGTGACAAAAGAAAAATATTGGGACTTTTATTATTATCAAATATGGGGGATTTCCGGGGCCGGGTAAACCCATGAAAGGGGGGGGGCGGAAGTCGGCATTCCCTTTTGTATTTGGTTCTGCTGTATAGCGAACTAAAATCCCTCGCGAACTCTCTATTTGCTCCGCTGCGCGAA